ATTCTGTCCATCATCAGTGTGTAATGCTTCTGCTCGGCTGATACTCCTCTGTCAGGGTTTTGGCTGGGATAGAGTTAATGTTCTTCTTAGTAGCTGGCACAGTGCTATGTTTTGGATTCACTATGACAATAAATTGATAACACAACAATTGTTGATTGTTGCTAAGTAGCATTTACCCCAAGTTAAGGACTTTTCGGTGTCCATACTGTAGAATGTCATGGTCAGTATATAAATTGGGGGGGGGGGGTGTGGTGGTGGTGTTGTCTCTGTGGGGCCCATTACTGCTCAGGGATGGACTGGGAATTGGTCATTGGTGATGAGTGATTGTATTGTGTTATGCGATTGCTTGTTTTTAATTTTCTTTTTTTTTTTTTTTGTTTGTTTTTTTGTTTGGTTTTTTTTTTTTTTTTTTTTGTTTGTTTGGTTTTTTTTAACCAAGAGGGGTTGAGTTTGTGGGATGGGTGAAGGGTTGTTACTTTATTTTTCAGTATTGTCTTTCTTCCAATCCAACAACCATGGAAGTCACACTATAGAAAGGACAGAAGAGAAATTTCAGGTTCTCAAGTCTGTTGGGCTACAGAAGCTTTTAGCGGTATGATGTGACATCTTGACATCTCAAACCAGGTGTGTTTGTGGTTCTAGAGGACAGAGAAAGGTATTTTGTGTACCTGAACATATGCAGACTAAGGTCTCCCCATGCTTGCATTGCTTCACTCTGTATTCTAGATACTGTAGAGCTGTTGCCACACAACATTTCAGATTAATTTTTTTTTAATTCACTCTTCAGAGAGGATGAAGTTCTGCACCTGTTCTTAATGATTTATTATATGTCAAATTTTCTTCAGAGATGTATAAACAGAATGGAAAAAAATGTTCTGATCTCTCTGCTGATGAGAGAAATCTATTTTAAAAAGATATTAGCTGAATTTCCAAATGTACATGAGTAACAATATATATTGGGAAAGTTGTGGATCACTTCCAAGTGTTTTGTTAGGGTGCTACTCCCTCCCTCTGTGTTCAGATACTTGATCCTGCAGCAGTAAATGCCTCCTATCAGATCTAAAGAAATAAAACACCTTCTCGAAGACACTAATTAGCATTCTTTATTATTGCAGTTAATTAAGATGATAGTATTTGCCTTACTGTTGATTCATAATTTATATTAAAAAGTCAGATTTACTTCTACAGTGTCTTGCTCTCAGAATTTGTTTATATTGCCTAGAACCAAGTATTGTACTTGCATCATATTTTTACAATGAACCAAGATTAGAAATAGGTTTAAAATGATACATATAACACTCCACAAGTTCATGCCATCTTAAAGGCTTTATAATTTTGAAATGCATTCAAAATTTGCAGAAGAATAAAATTTCTATGTACAAATAAACCTGTCTTTAAAATTGGAACGGTTTATTGTTACTTTGTTTTGTAAAGGTAGGAACAGAATTTAACACAGATCATGGTGGTTATCCTGGTTCTGGCCATTTACTGTGCACCTACTGGAATTACCTCAGCTAAACTATTTCAGGAATGTCTTTTCAAGATATCCCACAGTCTTGACTTTGAGAAAGCTGAGACACAGGGACTGTAAGCAGGAACAGGCATTGTTGTCATCTACTTTGATTTTCTTTGTATTGCTGTATTTATTTGTATTGTGATTAAAGGCTGAGCCAAAGCGACTTCTTTCAACAGTAGTAAAAGTCACTGGATCTGTCTCATAAAAGGTCCAAACCTCTGAAGGAAGAATTCAGTGCTGCTGTATTAACTACATGTAAGTATGCTCAACTCTGAGCACTGTTACAGTAGTGTCTTCAGATATGACCTCTTCTAGGATCTGCAACGATGTTCAGTAGTCTGTCATACTTAGCAGTTTGTGGTCACTGAAGTTGTTGGAAGGGAGTAAAAGTGCTCTTAGTATGCGGAAAAAAGGTGTGTGTTTTGTCAAGAAATACAGTGGGAGTGTACCATGGTTGATTGCAATCAAGTTGGACAGATGGCTACCTGACCTAGAGGGAAAAGGATGTGTGTATTTCCTATGAACTTAGTAATTTCTGAAGTATAAATATTCAACTACAATGCTGCATGCTGGAATATTTTTATTTTCTTCTTGCTTATGAGCAGATGTGCTTCCTCTTCCAAGAGAGATGCCAGAATTTATGTACGGGAGCTAGAGATGAATGGAGCTAGTGTATTGGTGGAGCTGCTGTAAATTTGCAGCTGACAACCTATGCTCTGCTCTGGCACGTGATGTGGAAGATCAGTGATGTGCACAGGGATAGTTTGGAGGAGAACTCAATTAATTAACAAGGAAAATTCTTTATTCAGTTGTCCAGCACCGCATAATTTTTGTTCATCTATGAAGGTGGGGGAAACCCCCCCTCTGGGCAGAAGACCATAAACTGGGCCTCTTTTGGCTCCGCGTAGAGAGGCGAGAGGCGGGGGAGATGTACACCGCCCCCGTTCAAGCTGAGGCTTTAACTTTGCCGGCGCCCCTTTTTGGGGGAGAGGCCTTGCGCCGTGTGGCGGCGCGGGGGCCCCGGGGTGAGCGGGCGGGGCTGTGCGCGCGGGGGGCTGCAGGGCCGCCCGAGCTCCACATGCGCGGGGCGGGGCCCGGCCGCCGGGCAGCTGCTGCGGCAGCGGCCGGGCTGCTCGTCGTGGGGTGAGTGCGGGGGGGGCTGCGGGTGGAGGCGGGAGCGCTGGCGCGGTGTAAGGCGGGCGGCGTGATTGTTTTGTACCGTCACCATTTAATGTCCGCAACTGCAGAGCCTTCGGCGGCGGCTGGGAGTAGTCGGGAGCTGCGGCAGCTCCTGGTGTTTACTTGGCAGCGCAGGGGAAGTGATGCTGTGGATGTGCTGGGAGGGGTTTTTCCTTTCGTCTTATTTTATTGCAATAATTTCCTGGCACAGCTTCTAATGGCATGTGATCCAAGGAATCAGGAGACGTAGCACTACAACATGCGGTGGAACAATGTGGCAGAAACACTACTTTGCTCCATCTCGCATCAAGACAAGGGGGAACAGCCTCAAGTTGCGCCGGGAGGGTTTAGATTGGATTTTGGGAAAAAATTCTTCACTGAAAGGGTGATCAGGCATTGCAACAGGCTGCTCAGGGAAGTGGTGGAATCCCTGGAAAAAAATAAGAAACCATGTAGATGAGGCACTTAGAAACAGTTTAGTGGTGGACCCGGCAGTGTTAAGCAAATGTTTGGACTCGCTGATCTTAGAGGTCTTTTCCAACCTTGACGATTCTTTGATTCTCTGTGTTATGTTATTAAGTATAATGCTTATATGTAGTTTACAAGAGAAGGTCCATGAAATATTACTGGTGGCATTTCTGGGATTTTGGGTTTGTAGGGTCAGGTTTCCTGCAACTCACCCCCACCCCCACCCCGCTTATCGGGTTCTTTAGGAAGTCAGAAAGTCTTACAGATACAGGAGACCCAATCGGTGTAGTCAGCTTATGTTGACAAGAGTCTGTCAAGTAAATAAAGCAGCTGGAATTCAAGAGGAAAGGATTCTTGTACAGGGAAATGACTACAGTATGAAGCAGAAGGTAACAGTAAATGGTTTCCTTATCCAGTGGTGTTACACTGGAATCTGTCCAGGGCAGTTTGAGCTAGTAAAGACATGAACAGTGAAGTGTGAAATCTTGGTGGTGATATTAAGCTTTGGAAAAGTACTAAGAATGAAGATCAGCTATGATAATATTGGAAGACCTTATAAGGTTGCCTGAGCAATAACCTGGCAAATAAAATTACAGAGAGGTATGTACAGGAACAGAATGAAACAGTATTCTATGTAGAAGATGGGCTGTGAGCTCATTGTTACTGCCTGGGAGGTAGATTTTGGTGTTAGGACAACATGAGACTCCAGTCATGGAACAGGACTGCATGAATTTTCATAGAGCCTCCTGCTGCTGACTGACCAAAAGCAGATACCTAGGGAAGAGCTAGGATATTTTGAGCAAACACATAGAGATGTTTTCCACTGCTTTTGTACTAGCCTTCAAGAATCTGCAATTGAAGGTCTTCCCTGATAAGTTCAACTTCTGATAGGTTTTTGGTGTCTTATTTGCTAAGATATAGGAGTAGCATTTGTGATGTAGTCCATTTGAGTGGGGAGTTAGAATTTGACACGTATCTTTGTAATATGTGTAATGGCAAGATAAATATCAGGATAGAAAGAAGACAGCAGTCCTAACTATTGCAGGGCAAAGCTACAGTTCTTGTCTAAAGAAATGAAGAAAATTCTTGAACTGTCAGCTCTTTCCTTATAGTTACTCATTCACAAATGTACTTTGATGCAATCATGCATCACAGTTATGACCTGAGGATTTTATGGGATGAAAATAGGAACTTTCACAGGTAAAGCACTCCATTGTTATAAAAGTGTTTCAGAGGAACACTTGGACACATCTATGTATGTTCTGAAGAGGTGAGCTTAGTTTATTGATGACAAAACTTAGTGGAATTATAGAAAGATGTGGTTATAAACAGTTTCCATTAAAAGAAGCTAAAAACAAACAAAAAAACCAACCCCCCCAAATAAACAAACAAACATTCCTTCATTAAAACATATACTAAACTAGTTTTAGTAAAGACCACTGTTTGCTTGGCAGCTTATCTGTAACTTCTTTTTATGTGGAGAGACAGCTGAGAAGGTTGACTTATGTTAATGATTGAACAGAAACACACAGGTAAATAAATTACTGTATGGGCAGTTACTGGTTTGTGCCTTTGCTCTGTTGCTGCAGTTGTGAGGTGCTGCCACATTTGTGTGTGCTTTGTGCAAAGTTTAAACTGCACAACTGAAGGAGGATGCCTGTGGAGTTAAACAGGTCTATTTTAAATCAAGGTAGTTTGTTTCAAGCAAATGTTTGTGTTGATGGATAGGATCGAAAAATTCAACGGAGTAGTTGTCTTTCCCTCCTCCCTCCCCTCCATTGGAGGTGCAAATTAATTTTATTTAAAGTTATGAAATGATGTGTTTCTGTGTTTATAGGAAGGGACTGTCCAGAGGTTCCACAAGTCGGTGTATCTCCGGAAAAAGTGGAGAGTCTCTTCCATCAGTTTTTGCCAAAAATGTGCAGGAAGCCATCGACAATTATACTTGGTATGCATGTGCTTCTGTAACAGTACTTCATTAATGCACTTTTGACTTAGACATTTCAAGATTGGGATCAATTTTCACTTGTCATGCTTCTAGTTATTCTCATGGATAATAACTGTTGCTCAACCTAATTCAGGATATAAATTGAACTAACCCATTTTTTAGAGGGTTTGAACTTTACTCCCGGTTTGCATTGTGGATTTGAGTATTTTGAGACCATAGTAAAGGTCACTGATTAAGTCTGGAAGGAGAGTCAGACTTCATGATTCAGTTGAAATCATGCTTGCCAATGTTGCAGGTTAGTTAACTTTCAAGAAGTTTCATTTCGGATGACACTGGTTAGAATTTGCCTGGCCTGCACATTTGATTGCCATTACTTTCCCTGCATCCCAGCGTGGGTGGTAGCTGGCAGGGACCAGGTAGGGCTTCGAGGACTTTAATGCCAGAGCTCAAGATTTAAAGTACACCAAGTTTAGCAACATAGAAGGCGCTGCATACAGATATATAATTCAATAGTATTTGAAGCATTTGTAGAGATCTTGTGCTTAGTTTTGCAAATGTTTTCTTGTGATAGCTTCTAATGGAGTTAAAGAAGGCTTATGTTATCTATAACGTGTGGTTTTTCATAGGGTCACTAGCTGAACTGGTGAAACCAAATAATTGTTAGAGCTGGAAATATAGGTACATGGGTACAGATATATTTAAATACATATACACATATATATGCATATTTTAGAGGGCCCATACAGTTGCAATTATGTATATACATACAAAAGTATAATAGTGTAGGAGGAATTGCCTTTAAGGCAGTAAATGGTACTAATAGGAGCAGGTATTCGTAGCACTCTACTTCAAAATGTATGCTTGCACCTCTTCAGCTCAACAGGAATATGTGTTGCTGTCCATTTACGTGATAGGTTGCTTTATTTTAAAAATGTTTATACAGAAAATAATCGTGTTTTTAATTTTAATTTGTCATATTTTCAGTGAAACACTTTCATCACTTTCATCTAGTGGCTGTACAACACCCACGGAGTTGGATAATTCTTGGTCTGGAATAAACAGCTATACTACTGGTTTGTCTACTGAGAGAAGTTCGGTTTACTCCTGGAGGGATGATGTGCGTCACAGAAACTTTTACAGTTCCCTTGCTTTAAATATTGTAGAAAAGATTAATATTTACTGAAAAAGGACATGCAGCACCTCATCCATAACAGCCTAGTGATTGAATAAATTAAATTAATTGAATTTTTTTAAAAATAGTTTTGTTTGCAAGTTGGTATCAGTGCCGCTAATGTGTAACAAAGAAAAATGGGATAAAAATATGAAATGATGAGGTTTGAGGAAAACAAACCTGTTTTACTGAAGAAGGTAGGCTTAGGTTTCTGAGTCCATCAGAATGATTAAATATGTGTTTTCAAATACTGCATAGTGCAGGTGATGTCTAAACTGAATTATTCTCAGTGTTTTCAGTTATAAAGTACGTTCATGAACATGTGTATAATTTTCCCAGTCTTGGTAAATATTTAGCTCTTACATAATCTCAGTTCCGTTTTGTAGATGATGCAGAGAGAGGTTGTACCTTTTATGGAGGCTGACCTCTGAGGCATACCTGGTGCAGGATGGCAGTGTTGAATAAATCCAAAAGCATTGCAGTTGCTGCCACTTTCGTTTTAAAAAGCCTTCCATGGCTCGTAGTGGTAGTTCTGCCATTATTCTTGCGTAATGTCCTAACCTTTAGGGTACTGACCCTATCTATCACTGCCAGCCCTTCGGGAGAAAGCCTCACTCTGGGTTATACAATAACCTGTATGAGAGTTATTTTCTCATTCCTTCTCGGTGTGATCCCTTCTGTAGCCTGAAATGCTTTGAAGCATTCAGCTGGAAGCGAACAAACGTGATTCAGGCCCTGAGTATTACCACTTTTTTTAGTATATCGAAGTATCTAATGTAAGTGGCAAATGTCATTATGAACAGTGCCCCAGCCGAGGAACCCTCAGCCAAGTGTTTGTCTCCACATCACTGGATAAAATTAGGCACTTCCCTGCTATTTTCATATGCCTCTGTGCTCACCTGTCTCTGGTTGCACTGATTTGTGGGTTCAGTGAGGAGGTGTGGAAGGGCATTTCTCACACTGAGACTGTTTCCTAACCACCAGACTAGGTCATGCAGATGGAAGGTGGCCCCTCTTAGCCCTCTTAGCTTTTTTTGCTGAGAAAGAGCAGGGAACTTTGATGCCATGGGTCCCAGAGATGCAGTGTGCATGCTTCATATTGGAGCAGGGAGCAGGCTGGTAGTCCAGACACATTATAGCTTTTTTTTTTCTGTTGGCTAATCCTGGGCAACTGCCAGTTATCTGTTAACATCCTAGAAATGTAGGCTTCTAGTTCCTTTTTGCTGAATCAACTTGCTCAAGTCAGCTATATGGGATTTTTTTTTTTTTTTTTGCATTGTGGTATATAAATTGTGTGTCTCAAATAAATGGTCTGAACATGCATTCTGACATGCCCAGCTAAATTGATTCAAGTTGTTTTGTTCTTTATATATTGTGGTAATTTTAATTTAGACGCCAATTTGCTAACAACTATTAACTTTATAATATGTAGGAATTTGATAAAGCCAACACACAAAGAGTGCATCAGTTATTTTTGGAGATTGATGAAATGCTGTTTGAAGGAAAAGTGACTACCCAAACGCAGAGCTTGCAGGTCGAATGTGCCGATTGGGTTGAACAGTTTCCTCACCTAAGGTAAAGAAACGTTTTGCTAGTACTAGTTTTCATCAGTTATCATTCTAATTTGTATTTTTGGGGTACCCTCTTATGGTTGCTGATATATTGCATCAGCAACACTTATGCATTCAAATCTCTATCTCTGGGACTGAGCTGTGCCATGGTTGCACAGTTAGTCTGGAAAGTGGTGCTTTACCACTAATGCCCATTATTTTGCTTAGTACAATGATTGCAGGCAAAGGTAATTTAGCAGGATGTAATGTGAAAATAATAACACATCATTTTCATAATGACTTTTCCTAAATAAACAATACATCCTGTAAATAAATATTTGATTTTATTGTAATTGAAAACATACTGTGGAATTCCAAGAAATTCAGTAATTCTGTATTGATTCTTCTAAAAATTAATGAAATATGAAGGCCGACCACATGCCTCACATATACTGCACAGCCACTACATCCTCCTAGGCACGTAAAACAATGTGTTATATTAACCCAGCAATAACCAATGAATAGATATGCAGATGCACACATGATTAATGAGAATTGCTTTGCATGGATGTGCAGAATTTCTAGGCAGCCTGATGACTGCTTCTTGTAACACAGGGGACAAGTCAGTGTTGCTCTGCATTATACTGTCTTGCCTTCATAAATGGTGGCATGACATTCTTTATGAGATGTGGTTACTCTTATTCTAAACATAGGCCTGCATGTGTAATGACTGTCTTCTAGTCAATAGTTTGTTAACACCATTAAAAAGAATGCTTTCAATAACTGTGGTATGCTTTCAGTGCTTTTAGGTAATTTGCAGAGGCTTGGTACTTGGAAATATAAACTAAAATCAACTAACAATTTCTTTGTCATGAAAAAGGCAGAATTGTCAAATAACTGAGGCAGTTTTCACTAGCATCAAGCCATGTTTTGCCTTGTTTACATACTGTGAAAATTAATAGAGCATGCATAAAATGGAGATTTTTGTGCTGTGTAATTCAATCAAAATATTAAGTAATTTCTCTATATTATTTAGGGTATTTTCACTGGGTAGAATTTTTTTAAGTGATTCCCTGTATGTAGTATTTTTTGATTCAAATCTAATGCTGGCAATACCAACCAGGTCCCAGAGGTTGAAAGTAAATTGAAGAAATCTGGGAGCTTCTGCATCATTTGCTACTAAGGGATGTGGTACCTCCTGTGGTTTAAAAAGAAAACAAAACTTATTTTCATTTATTAAGATGAAACCTTTAAACTTGGTGTGTGTTGACTAGTTACTCAGAAGAATAGCTTCTGGGATGCCAGATTTATTTCTGAGTTGTGCTTCAAATTGCTTGCTGGCTGTCCTTTTTTTTTTTTTTTAATTTATAAAACAGCTGTGTTGGTATATGAATATGTGGCTCAACATGTGCGAATAAATATAATCAAGAATTGTCATCAATAAGAGAAAGATCAGATCTATTAAAGAGAAAGCTTTTTGTTCTTGGCTTACAAAATAAAGAGTGAAAAAGGCCATTGCTTAGAGCTTCATGTGGCATAAAGTGTTGTTCTGTAAAAGCTAGTCTCAAGAAAACATGTTCAGGTGAGTCTGAACATTGCTGCTTGCACTACAGATTTGACTGGTAAATTCTATTGAGATCCCTTGTAAATTCTAGTGAAAAACAATTCAGTAAGGAACGATTATATAACTATACTGTGTTCAGAAATTATAGCGTAATTTTGTGTATATTTATTAGAGTTGCTTTTACCTTTTCTGTCTATCCCTCTACATTATGCATTTTGGAGTTCCTGCATTTTCTGAACATTAATTCTAGCCTTAATTTTCCATGTAAACATTATTGCTTAGCACTTTTGCTCACATTGATGGATACTGAAGTTAGATAAGTGAAGGCACAACAGATATTATTTGTCTTCTGCATCCATTTTTAAATGTTTCTTACAGAGTTTTGGTAAGAAAGGAAGTGTGTTTATCTGGCTTTAAAATAATCTAACAAGTTTGACTATTTACTCTTAAAATTTATAAACTAGAATCTCATCTAATGTAATTCAGCTTAACTTTAATAACTTAAAAACTGGGTGATGTTGATGTATTACACAAGGCTCTGAGCCCTCCATGAGTTGCTTTTGAAAGCATATATAAGGTGTGCTTTTACACTACCTACTGTTTGCAGGTATTTGTATTCTGGATCTTTGCATATGGCATAGGCTTCCATCTAAGAAACTGCTTGTTCTCTCCTTTTATTCAGGGTTCTAGGAAAGCAGCTTCTAGTGCCAAAGGATGAAGGCTTTCAGCATTTTCAGAGCAGAAATGATACCTATGTGGATACTAAGTGTCTGCCTGGCCTCTGTGAATATACTAGTAATACAAAAGAGTATGTTGATTTTTTTTCAAGTTTTTGTTTTCGTCTTCCCCCCTTCAGAAGTATGTACAAATACTATTTTTGTATTACCAAAACATATCAGTATAATTAAATATGGACTTTCTTCTTTCTTTGAATGTTGAATTTTCATTTTGTTGATTTTTTTTTTCAGGCTCTGCATTTCGGGCTCTAAATTGATCCCTACAGTATCTCCAATACATAAATCACTGGATTCAAGTTCCACTAGGATTTCTGACTCAGCCATGTATTCCTTCCTGGAAGAAGAAATCTATGATATGGATGGAAAAATAGAAGAATATCTTGCCTTTGACAGCAAGGAACTGTAAATAACAGATATATGTATTTTTGAAGAATATAATGAAAAATTATCAGTGAACCCTGTCAGGGTTCATAAATTGTGTTTCTCTTCTGTAAGATACAGTTCCTTCTGTCCCTGTGTTTGGTAGCACAGTGGTCAGAGCACTCACTGAGCATGTGGAAGATTAGGTATGTTGTCTTTCTAGTGGTTCAAAACTCACATCTTCCATGTCAGAGAGATGTGTCTTAACCACTAGTTGTTTTAAGGTGTTTGGTGCATGGAGATTCAGTAAAAAAAAAATTTAATTTTGAGATGGGGTAGAATGAAGGCATCCCTTCTTCCCAGGTGAGTACCTTGAGCAGCAGGTTGTTTAGGGTCATTATGTTGTACATTCTCTTATTGTCTGCCCTGATAAAGAATCTTAAATTCTTTCGGTGCAGTGTATTACAGCTTTGTGAGGAGAGCTGCCGGTTGCAGCCTGCATTCAGAGCATTTTTGTGAGGGACAGGAGTCAGTTATTTTCTTGAAAGTCAACTGAGGTTTCCTGTGAGCCAGTTGAATGTTCCAGCAACTAGGCTACTGGGTGGATCAAAGATCATAATGTACTGTTTCCTAAAAGGCCTCTATGAGGGGAAAACTTTGGTAAGACTAGTTGGGCACAAAGCATAGCTTTTTGTGCTAAGGCCTTATGCACATTCAGGACAAAGACATGGTTGTTCTGAAAACCTGAGGAACCAGACTGACACCCTTTCAGTCCTGTTTTTGAAAGAGAGGGCCGGGGTTACTGCCTTTGAGAATACTCTTAGTATTCTTCTCTCCTCATTTTGCGAAGTAAGCAAATTTAATTTGGGAGGGACACTTGCCTGAAGGTGTGTTTTCTCCTTTGTGCCTCCTTCGCATGCCTCTTGTTTTCTTCAGCTCTGAAATACCTTGTTCTCCATAACTAAAACATTAGGCATTAAAAAGCCTGATATGAAAATAGCTTGGTCATATTGTGATTTGGACTGCTCAGCCACGTTTCAGTTATAGTTAAGAATTATGCAGTTAAGTTTGAGGAAGAAGTGACTGAGAAAGGGAGATAGTAGAAACCAGTATGAATTTGGAATCATCTTTATGATCTCAAAAAAATGCATTCCTTAGAAAGAAATATGATGGCATTAAAAAAAGAAAAAGGTGAAAACTTCCTTCCTGAGAGGTGTGTTAGAAGACCAAGTTAAGAAATGTTGCTGCAATGTGCTGCCCTAAGTAGGGAGGAGACAGAAAAAAAACCCGAAAAACCATAACTGTCCTCACAGCAGTGGAAAGGAAGAAGATATGTGTAAGGCTATAGGCTCTGCTATTCTTGTCAGACTACAGAAATCCTTTAAAGTTGTTTTTTCTTTGATCGATGGTGGAGTGCTGCAGATGTGTGCAGGTACACAGGGCATGATAAAAAAAGAAATATTCTATGTTATGGTCCTCCTGACAAATGCAACAGATAATAGTTCATTTAGGTTACTGTAAAGAGTATAGGATTTAGTCTCAAATGACTAAGTGCCATGTATAAAGGTTTTTCCTAGAGCTGCAGATCTTTCTGTTGTAGTGCCCTGGTGGGATTCTTTAAATTTTCAACTACAAGCAAAAAAATAAAAGAAATCCTTATATGTGTATGATAGGTTCTGTTCCCATAGGTGCATTTGAATTTGAATTTTTTGGTGATCTGCAGCTGACTACCTTTTCTTCTGTATTTATGTTTCTGTATTGGAAGGAAAGGAAAAAAAAGGCAAAATCCATAAGAGTTCTTTTGAATTTGTTTCCTTTATTAGTGATGATGAGAGTTGGGAACAAAAGAAGATGTGTCTCTCTGAGAAGAGGAGTAAGCGTGGCATTCCCCCTGTTTCTCCCAATGCCTGTATCAAAGATGCTGTGGCTTCTGAAGTGTTTGATCATGTTTGGAGCAGTGTCATTGGAATATTGGAGGAACTGATTAAAAAAAATTGGGAAACTAGTATCCCAGGTATCTGATATTTTCAAATACGGTGTTTATTAAATCTAACTCAGAAAAGTGGTTCTCCCCTACCCCTTAAAATAACCAAATTTTCCAAGCTTTATTTAAGATAACCAGTGCTGGAGCACTGTAGGATATGTAATGCTTTGCCATGAGAATGTGCGCGCACACACAACACACACATGCACCTAAAATAAAAACTTCTTTATTAATTTTCAGGGATTTTTTTATGAGAGGTGGGAAAAAAGGGAAAAATACTTACTGAAATAACTTCAATTTGGGAGAGCATGTTTAAAAAAATAAAAATCACTGGCTTGAGATGCAGATTGATGCTGTTAGCAGGGGATCACTGACGATGTGATGTGAATCTATAACCTAGGAATCAGTCTCCTAGTCCTCACTGTTTGAACTTTGTTAGTAAAAAACCCTTTAGGTAGGAGATAGACAGTCTTGCTGATGTTAGGAGTTCATGAGTACAGGATGAAGAAATGGTGACGCATGTAATTTTATTTTATGTTTTCATATTCTGTCGGACCGTAGCAAGGAAAATTAACTAGAAATGAAAATCTATTTATTGTGCATATATTGTCTTTGGAGGCTGAGGGAAATTGCCATTCTTTCAATGTATTTTAAAACGATTGTAATAGAAGAATACCTGAGGGGGTTTTGGAAGTTACCTCAAGTATAAGGTACACTCAACCTCAAATATAAGAGTACAACAAAATAAGAAATGGCAAAATTCCTCAGAATGCTTGCAGCATCAGAATTTAACATTTCAGGTGTTACTGAAATATAAAAGTTCCTTTCACAGCACAGGCGGATTGTTTATCTCTCAATACTATAGTTTAGGGAGGATAGCTTAGCAGTATTATGATAGGTTTGCTCTTCTATCTTTTTGAAGGTCATGAACTTATGACAAATTGCTAGTTACCAAAGTATCTCAACTAGGAAAGAAAAGAGTTTGTATTTATAATAGAAATAAGACAGTAGTTTACACCCAGAATGAAACACCATGTAGCTGCTGTCAGACAAGGACACTATCAATAGACTTTTTGTTTTATATATATTTTTAGATTTTTTTTACTGCTTAAAAAGAAAAATCTTTGGGGATTTTTAAATAACATTTCAAAGTCTTAGCAATATTTCCTTAAACACCCACCTCCAACTCTAACTGTATAGACAAACTTGTATGTCAGTGTCAGAGAAAGCATAAACAAATGGGAAAGCTTTTAGAAAAACATCATTTACGGTAGAGTTTTAAATAATATGGAAACTTAAAAAGATATGAAAGTCTTTATTTACTGTGAAGTGTAATATTTTTTGAACCTCAACAAAAGATGGCCAGTAAACAGAAAATTCCTCTTATTACATCTACTTTTTTTGCTACTGTGCAGAGTGTGACAAAAAATTGGAAAAACTGAAAGCTGTTACAGCAAAACTGCCACATTTGCCAGCCATTCATATTATAACAGATGCTGGGAGCATTCCTCTTTCCAGAGGCTCTGAAGCACGAAGTGTATCTTTTGGGCCTCATTCTGTTTCATCACAGGTAAAAATAAAAAATAGCTTTCTGTCAAATGGTGTTCTTTTTTTCTGCAAACCTTGGACAGTCTTGGTTGAAACTTGAAAAGGGTCTTTTTTCCACCCGTTTTGGTTTGGTTTTTTTTATACCAATTAGGTGTGCTTAAAGTCATCTGATTTAAAATGTGGGTTAATTAAATGTGCATTTTTTATTTGTTGTCACTTGTTTGTCTGTGGTGGTTCTTAAAGATGCCATTTACCCCTAAGATATTGCTGCAGTTGCTTTACCAACAGAGTCTTGTTAGACTCTATTTTGTCCTAGACTGTGTTGTGTCCTTAATTTTGCTTTATTGTGGTCCAGTAATTTCTTCTTGATAGAATTAAGAAAACAAAGTGGGCTTTTCCCTGGACTGCAGAGATGTGAATTTGCAACTTCTTTTTCTCTGCAGTACATCCACCAGCACGTTGGCACTAGGCCTTACCTGTCTGTGGAAGCTTATGTTTATATTGATAAAATGTTCTATTTTGTCCTGCTTCCTACATCCTCCCTCTGTCATGTGCTTTGCACATATGTTTCCTTTTTCAACCACCACTTCTGGTTTTTTTGTCTCTCTGTCGAGTTCAAGCAACTTCATTCTCTTCCATCTGCTCTTTTTCCATGCTTGTTAAACAGTGAGATAAGGACCATGGAAAAGATAGTTACAGGGGTCTTACTTCTTCTCTTTGGTGTGCTTTGCTCTGTAGTGCTCCCAGCAGCCAGAAGTAAAATGCTTAGATAAATAATTCCTAGACTCTATGCCCTGTGCTGAGGGAAAATGGAAGCTTTGGAGAATCAAACTCTGTCTTCAAATGAAAGAGTATTTTAAATTGAATTGCACTTCAATAACAAAATTATGAAAGTCATATTTGTAAAAATCTGTTTTAAATAAGTGAAATTACATAGTTGCACCATCTACTACTGAGAATTCTATTAAACTGTCTTAATAGAAACTTTTCTAAAATACAAGTAAAATATCTCTTAACTATGTGCTTTTTGAGGTCTTCCTTCAAAAATATAAAGGTTAACGCATAGTTATTGCTTTTAATAGGTTCAGCGTTTCTCCAGCAACTTCTGTAGTGATTTGAATGGTGTGATGACAATTCAAGCAAAACCGCTCCAACAGAGGCATGTTACCAGAGTAGAAAAAATACAGTAGGTTTTGATATTGACATTTTCAAAATGTGACATAATTCACACTGCATAAAAAATGTTTTGCAGTTAGAAAAAGGCAATAAAAAGGCAGTGATTTTGTTTGTATGTATCACTGATGTGATAGTGATTTGCAGAGGTTGAAATGATATGCTGTTAAGGATAAAAGGATTCTTGATCCTAATTCATAATTTCTTTCTCTTTCCCTAGGAATGAGCAAGAAGACAAACAGCAAAGCACTGCCTCCACTGCTCCAAATTCAGCACATGCTAGGCTGGGGAGAATTTCTGATAATGGTGTTCTGTCATCATCTCAGGCACTGCTGGCATCTTCTAGGAAACTACCAAACCATCGGAGGTTACCTTCTCTCACCTCTGACCAACTCTGCTCAAAAGTTCCTAATATGTACAATGAGGAAATCCTAAGACAGACGAAATTGTGAGTTTTTAATTTTATTCTCTGGTTTTGTCAGAACTCTACTGAAATTTCACCTGTGAAAGATTTTGCAAAATACTTGAAAACTAAGCCATGATTTGTTATTAATTGTAGAATTCAGAGAAAAAGAAAGCAAGCCGAACCATGCTTTTTTGAGGAAAGGCATTTGTTTTATTTTTTTTATTACTGTATTAGGTGCTGTTATGTTTTGTAACCAAGCTCTATAAAGAAATGTACTACTTTATAATTTCATATTGCTTCAGTGAAGAAGTCTGTAACATGAATTTTCCTAAAAGAAGAACACTTAAAATTCTGTAGGGTTGCCAGCTCAGATCGTTTGTCTTCTGCTCATGCACCTGCAACACGGAACAAGTTACCACCAATAAATTCTGATGCTCTTGAACAATATCTTTCAGTACCTCGACTGCAACAGAGCTCTGTAAGTTGTGTTCATTTTTGTACTGGTGAAGAACTTCAAGCTATTCAGAAATAAACTGCTCCGTGTCACTGGTTGAAAGGACCAATTTTACAGTTTGTTTTGGTTTGTGTTTCATAGATGGTTTTAACATGCTAATGTGAATTACACTGAATTACAATGCAAGAGAAGTTTAAAATGTCAGGTCACAAACAGATCACGGTGGAAAGACTTCTCTGACAACAGAAAAATCTGGTTTAAAAAAATAGAAAAACAGCAAATCAACAAGATAGTAACCTTGCACGTTTATGCATCTGGATTTAAAAGGCTCCTTTCAGTGTTTTATTCATTAATGTTAAGTTATAAGAAGTAGAAAATTATGCTGACTGAAGCAGAAAAGGATACCAACTGAACAAAACAGATCATCTTATACCAGCCTATTTTTGAAGGTTGGGGAAGTCATAAATTACCAGAATGAAAGTAGATTGGCATTTTGATATTACTCTTCTTCTGAATAATATTTTGAATTGAGATAAATGTAAAATCTTTTATTATTTTAATTAATGTAAACCTTTGGGAATTATAGACTAGTATTAGGAACAGTCTCACATCTGTTTGAAAAACATGAGAACCCTTAAATTGGTGCTTTTGGTCAGTGAAAACGTATTTTTCTTTTCTCCTTGTGTACTTTTGTGAGGCAACAGAAAAAAAATATTTTAACTGATTCAGTTGCTGCATTCTCTTAATGCTTTTTTTAATTCTCTCAGCATCAAGGACGATATGCTCTTAGCAGAGTGTCAAGTGCAGTGCCTCGCAGGATAGAGCAACCGGCACTCAGAGAAAGAACTGTTACTGTTAATCAATTTTCAAGGCCCAACACAACTCATACGTTCAGGGTATGTTACAATATAAGTAGAGACATGTCAAGGGGAAGAAGCTTTCATTCATGCCCAATGTTGATCTACAGAAGGTCTCATTTCTCTCCTGACTTCTGATGTACAGGGGTTCTTGCTACCTGTAGAGAGGAGGATGTTAAAAGGCTTGGGGAGGGTGTGGGACTATTGTATGAGGAAGAATTTTTTTTCTAATGCATCAAACTGTTCCTTTGAGGGTTGTACATGTGTTAGAGGTGTGAAGTCTTCCTTTGAGGGAGTCTGTATGCTAGAGGTGTACAGTTTTAGTGCTGCTTGGAGCTTTGCGCTTTGGTAGGATTCAGTATACTGGATTAGATCATAAAAACCATCATAAAACCGTTTCAGTAGATAAGTGTATCACACTAGCTAGTAGTATATCTTCCCTTTTTACAGAGAGACACATCTCAGAAGAGATCACTGACTCCCATGGATATTGCTAACCACAGAGGGATGGGTCAAGGATTTTTGACAACAGGTAGGCAAAGTAAGAATTACTTGGAAAGTAAAAGGCCAGAAAAATCTATGAAGCCATCATACAATCAAAAAGTGAAGTGCTCAGGAGGAGCCATCTTGGCATAAAAGAATAGGTGTGCTTGGCAGGATCTTTTGAGTTTGGTTTTGCAGTTTCTTCGCACTTGGTCTGAGTTAGTCCTAACTGATTGGTAGGAATCCTGTAAAGCTTCTTTTTGTTGTTATGACATGGAAGGAGAAGGATTTCCCCTCATCTTGTGTCTCTCTCCCTTTTTTTTTTACTTTAGTATTTCAGCACGTTTACAATTATGGCAAGAGTAAGTGGTGTACACATGTACAGACTAGATATTTTTGCAGCTGCTAGAGTAGTAACACAGATTCGTGCTTGTGAGCTATTCATGACAAATTTTACTTTAGCCCCCAAATTAGTAAACTTTTTTTGCGAAAAAAAGTTTAAAATATGCATTTTTAATAGAAGTATAAAGCTCTCTTAAATTAAAAGAAAAAATCAATATTGACTTGCAACTGTGTCTTTCAGTTGTAATACCGAAAAGAGAGCAACCCTGTGTGGCTCATTTTGTTTCATTTTTACAATAAAGCTGACTAGCTAGTTCCTGACTTAGTTTGAGTCTTTGTATATAACCCTTACTTGTTTGGAAGTTCCTTGAGTTTAAACAATTATAGAATTGACATAATTATATAAAAGGTGATGTAAAAATAAGGGTAGGTTAGCAAACACTGATCTGAGCAGACTAGTGGAAGTAACTTACATATAAACTTGGAGTGTGTTTCGGGAATTATGACAATTAACAGTGTTCTATATTTTCCAGGCTCACAGCATCACTACAGATCTGTTCAGAGAAATCCTTCAACCTCAAGAAAGAGATTTCAAATTGCTTCTTAACCCATTTTAGAAAGAAGCGGAAACTCTCTTTACTGAATGACTGAATGAAGCACTAAATTTGCCACCTAGTATCTTTGTGTAATAAAGACGGTGTGCAGTACGCTGGTGCTTACTGAGCCTTGCGATCTTCAGGATGTCTGCATTGCCTTCTTTTAAAATTGTCTGACCAGAGGTTAGAGTAAAAATTAGAGCAAAATGAAATAAATGGTTGAGGTGTCTGCTCTGTTTGCAGCATCAAGATGTTGCTGTTGCACTTTCTTCTCAGGCATTCCTCCTTTTTCTGTCTTTCATAGGGAATTGTTATTCTGTGTGTAGAAGTGAATAAGTTACGTTGAGGCTGTAAAGTCCTGCTCCCACTTTTTTTGTTTGCTCAGTGTTAAGGATGTTCTAGTATATGTAAACATCAGTCATATATAAAATTTATATTTTTAAACAGGAATTTGCAGTACTTCCTCCTTAATCACTGTTTCAACGTTTCTCTGTTTTTCTGCTTATAGCACTTGGTTTCTTACAAATATTGTCTGTCCCTACTTTTTCTTTGTCGTTTAATTCTTTTGTAATGGAATTCATTCATTGCTTTTGCTTACACTGTTCTGATGATCAATAACTATGGGAACTGCTGGGATAAACTTTGTTTACAGGAAATAATTTTTTCCCTGCCAGTCCGAACATGTTTATAGATGCCAAGCAATTGAACCAGCATGCTGACAAGTCTGTAAGACTGTTCCCACTTCTTGAGATTTCTTATAAAATAATGTGTGTTATTGTACAAATTAATCATCTTTTGAAATATGTGAGACTTAAACAAGAAAATATGTACTTAACTGATGAAAACATCATTTCATACCTCTTTGTGTAGACCCAAATGGGAAGATCAAAGAGGAGACTTGGAATTGTGTTCTGTCCAGCAAACAAAGCACTGATCAGATCCCTGGCTATTAGTGCTGTGAGCATTCGCAGTCAGGGATTCCTCCTTCCATCAGAGAGCCAGTAGTTGAAGCAAATGTGTTTGAAGTGCTGTTGAAGTGTAAAGGAAGGACGAAAAAAAGTTACTTGCCCAAATTGTGCAGTAACAGTTTTTTCTTCTACTTAGGAACTAATACCAGTTCTCCTCACTTTTTATGAATGTTCAAGGATTGATAATCCAAGGCCTAAAGCATTTGTAATGTATATTTCATATCTATACTGTTAATCAGATTTCTTTTTTTGTAAATGGTTTGTAAGCACTGTATTCTTTTGAATACTGGCTTAGTATTTTTCTTTGACTACACTAAGTTCACTCACTGGTGATGGTATGTTATAGTATCTGAGAAGGTAGAATGCTTGAACTTTGAAGTTGCAGAGCAATTTCATACAGTTGCAGGTCAATTTGATGAAGTTTCTTCAGAAATCTCATGTCAAAGATGACTTAACTTCCAAAATTCACTTTCCAAAATTCCAGAATTAGTGCTTTCAGCAACATGTCCAAAATATACTTTTGCTCTTGTGAGTGCTTCCTCCTCTATTGTACAGACCTTGAAAAGAATGCAGAGAAGCGATGGCAAAATGTGTCCCTTTCCGTCTTGTACTTTGTATTTCATAGCAATGCAGATCTTATGTTGTGAACTAAATGAGAAGATGAACATGCACTGGTTGATTCTGTAACAACAGAAGTGGTAACCAGTGAATCACTGAGGAGTGGTTCATCATCTGGCGCTTTGCAAAAGAGAGAAGATTGCTGACATCTGTGAAGCAATGGAGCTCAGTCAGTTGATCTTTATGTGGAGAGAAGAGCAGAACAACAAACAGTCTACTAATTACTAGAGCAGCAATGGAATGCTCTCAGCTGGCAGGAAAGAGGGAAGAGGAATGTTTGCTGTCTAGCAGAAGTATTTTAACACTTTTCCCTTTTGGTCAGTTTTTGGGCACCTGACAGAATCACAGTCATCTTACATGCTGATAATCATCATATCGTTGACTCATTCCATATTGGAAGGGACCTCAAGGATCATCTGGTCCAACCTTTATTGGCAAAACTCCTGACTGTGGCTATAACAGTCTAGACGAGATGGCCCAGCACCCTTCCCAGCTGAATTTGAAGTGTCCAGTGTTGGGGAATCCACAACTTCCCACATAGTGGGATCATTCCAATGGCTGATTGTTCTCACAATGAAAAATTTTCTTCTTGTATCCGATCAGAATCTCCCCAAGTATGACTTGCACCCATCACCCCTTACTTTTCCATATGATCCCTTATGAAAAGAGAGTCTCCATCTTCTTTGTATCTACCCTTTAAATATAGGGACATGATGATAAGGTGTCCTCTAAACTTCTTTTCTCCAGGCTGGACAAACACAGTTCTCGCAGACTTTCCTCCCATGGCAGGTTTCTCAGTCCTTTGTTCATCTTTGTGGCCCTTCACCTTATCCAGCCTGTCCACATCTTTCTTGTATAGCAGGGACCAAAACTAAACACTATTCTAGGTGTGGCCTGACCAGCACTGTGTAAAGTGGGATAGTGATTTCTTTATCTCTGCTGGTGATGTCCTTGTTGATGCAACCCAGCACTGTCTTGGCTTTCTTTGCTGCAGCAGCAAACTGTTCACTCGTACTGAGCTGTACTCATACTCCACCAGTGCCCCCAGGTCCCTTTCCATCAAGCTGGTCCCCAGCCAGGTAGGTCACAGCTTGTGCTGCTCTTCCTATAGTATATTTTCCCAAATGCATGACCTTAGCATGTCCTTCTGAACTTCATCAGGTTGTTAGCCTACTCTTCCAACCTATCCAGGTCTTCCTGCAGGGTGGCTTTCCCTTCCAAAGTGTCCACTTCCCCACTCAGGTTGGTATTGTTGGTCAACTTCACTAGGGTACACTTGATCCCATCATTGAAATCACTGATGAAAATATTAAACCGTTTTGTACTAATATCGATCTTTGGGGGACTCCACTTGTGACAGTTGCCAGTTTGAAAGGGAACTATTTACACCACCCTATGGCTGTGGCCACCCACCACATGGACCACTTGTCCAGACCATCACACATCAGTTTCTGTAGGAGGAGGCTGTGGGAAATCATATCAGAGCCTCTGAGATACCCAGGTAGACAGTATCCACTGCTTGCCCTGTATCAACTGAGCAGGTTACTTTGTTGTAAAAGGCAGTCATCTTTGTCAAGCGCACTTTGCTCTTCATGAATCCATGCTGGCTTTTCCTAATCGCATACTTCATTAGGCTTGTGACAGCTCCCAGGAGAATTTGTTCTGTAAGTTTGCCGGGGACCAGAGTAAGACCGATGGACCTGCCATTTTCTGCATCCTCCTTTAAACCTTTCTTGTAGATGGGATTGACATTAGCCGCCTTTTAGTCTTCTCAGATGTCTCCCGAACTCCACAACTTCTCGAAGATTATGGAGAGTGGCCTTGTGGCGTGTCAGTCAGCTCTCTTAACACCCTTGTTCAGTACTGTCAGAGCCCATCAATCTGTAGGGGTCAAGCTCCTTTAATAGTTCACATACCAACCCTTCCTTCACCTGTGGTGGGTCTGCATTTGCATCAGCCAGGATTTTTGTTCCTAAGGCCTGGTGCTGGAAAGGACATAGGTGAAGAAAGTACATCTGCCTTTTCAGCCTTGATGGTAACTAATTCATCTCTGCTGTTTAACAGCAGGCAAATATTTTCTGTCTGTCTCTGCTTGTTGTTTACATACCTGTCCTGGTTTCAGCTGGCATAGAGTGTATTTTCTTCCTAGTAGCTGGCACAGTGCTCTGTTTTGAATTTGGTACGCTAATAATGTTGATAACACTGATGTTTTGGTTGTTGCTAAATTGTGTTTGTCCTACATCAAGGACATTTCAGTGTCCCATGCTCTGCCAGTGAGGAGATCCAGAAGAAGCTGTGAGGGAGCGTGGCCAGGACAGCTAACCCTGACTGCCCAAAGGGATTTTCCGTACCACAGAATGACGTGCACAGTGTATGAACTAATGGGAGTTGGCTGGGAGGGGCCCATCGCTGCTAAGGGGAGGACTGGGGATTGATCGATCGACAGGTGGTGAGTGATTGCATTATGCATCACTTGTGTTTCTTGGGTTTTACTCCTCTCCTTTTCCTATTTTTATTTTACTTTACTGTATTTCAATCATTAAACTGTTCTTAACTGATGGTTTTATCTTTGTTCTGATACTCCTCTCCATGCCATTGGAGTGGGGTGTCTGCATGGTACTTAGTTGTGTGCTGATAGTATCTGAAACCATGATAGTATCTGAAGATTCTGTTCTTGTAGGTTTCGACATCTGACTAATTTCAATATGAGCTGAGCTTTTGTTTTTCTAACTGCATCTCTGCACACCCTGCAATGCCCAATTACTTGGGCATAATCCTGAAGCCCAAAAGAAGGTTCAAAGAGAACTGGATGAGATGTTTGGTAAGATTTCCATTCCTCCTTTGTCAAGATTGAAGAAATGGCATATGCCATGTGGCCATTCAAGATGCTTTAAGTAGGTAGAAGTAGTTGGGATGGGTGCTAGAAGGTGCATGAGAGAGTACTGAGAAAGTTTACCAAGCAAAGGGTAGGGTTTTTCTATTTTTTATAGTGAAGCAGTTATAGATAGTCACTAATTTGCTGTTGTTTTGACCCTTCTCCCTTTTGCTTTTTTCCTTAGAAGGATATCAAGTATGGAATGGCACAAATATTCAGATCATAATTTATGCCGTACGCAGAAACCCCAAGATCTTCTGTGACGTGGAGGAGTTCAGGTCTGAGCGATTCATTCCCCACAAATTGTAAGGATGAGCACCTGTATGCTTTCCAAATATGTAATGTTGTTGATAGTTTGCATGCATCCATGACTTCGTACTGACATTTCTGGTCTCACTAGGGGGTGTTGTGGAGGAATTTTCACCCCCATTTTCCCCTTCAGTCTTGCAATGGTTTTATGGTAGGCTTTTCGGCTGAGTGTAGGTGTCAAGGTGTCAGCAGCAGGGCTGCTGCTGGGATGGCCTCTGTGAGAAAAGACCTGAGAAGAGAACACACATGGTTCCTGCTGGTTCTGTGATGGACCCGCTGCAGGCCACAGCTGAGCCCAGCAGCCAAACCAGTGACATCTCTGTGAAAATGTATTTATAAAAGTGTACAAAAAAATGCTGAACAGGCAGAGGAGGATGGGGAGGGGAAAGATAGTAAAGCAGCAGTGCAAACACCAAGGTCAGTGAAGGAGGAGGAGGAAGTATTCCAGGCACCAGAGCAGTGATTCCCCAGCAGCTTGTGGAGCATGCTGGAGCAGGTTTATCCACAAGACCTGCAGCCCATGGAGGGGACCTATGCTGGAGCAGGAGAAAAAGGGTGAGGAGGGAGCAGCAGAGAGGAATTTTTCTCTTTGTTTCTAACTTCCTATTTTTAATTGTCTATAAATTAAATAAAAATTACCAAGTTGAGTCTGTTTTGCTCATGATGGTAACTAATAAGCAATCTTCCAGTCTTTATCTTGACCCGTGAGGTTTTGCATCCTGTTGAGGGTGGGGAGTGAATGGATGGGTGTCTGGCTGCTGGACTAGGCTAACCTACCTTAGCTTCTAACAGGCTGCACAGCTGTGATTGTGTTATAGGCAGGCACATCAAATGTGGACAAGGGATTTCCTTGTTGACGCCAAATCTTCTGTATTGCAGGAATGCAGGTAGCAGATTCTTAGTGCTGTGTGTTTCTGTGACCCACATCACAAGTATTTCCCAATCTTAACCTGCCCCATTTATTCATTCTCCATGACCTCTAGTTTTCTTCATGTAATGTGTAGCATGCTGCTAAATGCTTTGTTTAAACTTGCTGGAGTTTAGCAAGGAGGAGGCCCTGTAGGATCTGGACAAACAACGAAACAGCGGGCGGAATCTCCACTTGTGACCTTGCATGATTTATGATCATCCAACTTGGCAGTGTGCATTTTCCTTGGCACGTGGGTGCGTAAATATAGGTGTGGTGCTTTGGTAGCTACTTAGCCTTATTGTCTATTAATTATGACAACATCGTTGATACTTTATCAGAATTGCTTTACAACAGTAGGCTGTGTTCTGGGGGGACCAGTGGTGGTCTGCTTTGTTGTAAGACATAACATTATCCTTGTAGGGAAGATTTTTGGTTTCTTAGAGAGGAGGCAAACTTTTGTATTCTGTTGGGGATAATTCATTCATGCAAAATGTCTCAATCGAAGGATCCCGATATGACGGCTACAGAACAGAGTAGTTGTTTCTGTACAGTGAACACCAGGTTGCAGAAACCAAGCAAGGTATGCTTGGTGGAGGTGGGCATCGCAGCAATCAATGTCTCTGGAAAACATAGCTGTGGTCTCTGTTTCTCAAATGCTGTTCATCTCCTCTACCTCTGTGAGAAAGGATCCGCAGAAGGATTTGAAGCTGTAGATTTTTAGGCTACAGTGACATGAAATTTAGCATCAGGCCCTAAAATGCTTCTCTGAGGACTGGGGAGATCTCTGAGTTGTCCAGCACTGATGATATATTTTGAAATGGAGACGTGCTGTGTTATATTTTTTTGTGTAGGTGATGATTGTTGGGGACTACAAGTAGCCTGGGCTTTTTTAGAGTAGATTTCTATATGAAGGTAATTATGTTGTGATGGTGTGTGTTGAGAAAGAGAGAAGGTCTTACTAAGAAAAACCTTTCTTAAGAAAAAAACAGTTTTTCAGAATGAGCAGTGTACTTCTCTTTTTTCTTCTGTTGTATCAGACTCATTTTAGCTTTGCTTTGCTTTGGGTTTTTGTTTTTCTTGTTGTTAATGATGATTTTATTGCTTGCTTTATTGAAGAATCCAGGCTGCGTTCTAGGGACCAGCAGAATCCTGTGTTGTCGTTTGTGCCTCTGGGCTTACACACCTGCCTTACAGGATGCATGCCTTCTGTCAATATGGTCAGAAGGGCTTCCACTTAGGTAAGAGGCTGAATAAAAGCAGGTTTGCACTTTCATGTGCATTTATGAAAGCAAAAATTTACTAACCAGTGGAGTGCTTACAGAAATCCAACACTGAGCAAACAGGTCTCTGAAACTCCTGTCCTATGGGACATCATCCAAGGTTTGCAAGTCTCAGTGACATAATTAGGCCTTAAAGATGCCAAAACTCTCATTTCTTCTTTCTTTTACATCTCATTCCAGTGTTGCTGCTACCTTTTGTTAGCAGCATCACCATTGCCAGCTGCTGGCAGGATTTTGCTTTCCCTGTGGCTTTTCGCCTTCTCCCTGCTGTTTCACTGTTTCTCTTTTTTTTTTTTTTCCTCCTGCAGAAGGAGTTATCAGGAGTTAGAAACATGGATTTTTGACTCAGGATCACAGTTAGGCACTTCAAACTGCAAGGTTTTTTCTAAAGATGAGAGCATAATTACTCAACTGATCTCCATGTTAAAAAGACTTAAGTCGAACCTCTTCATCCTGCATCCTTACTTCCTTCCTAGGATGTCACCTGGACAAAAGAGGGAACTGATGGCTGTGTAGCTTACCTTGTGTGTTAGCAAGACAGGGCATGTATCTGCTGCTCTCTGTCACAAAGCATTACAAACAACAGCAAGAGTAGCAAAGTTCGTTTCCAACTGTTTACTGTGCATAAAGATACAACAGTCAGCATTTATGATAAAGTTTTTGCTGGGAGATTGCAGGAACAAAGTGCCAAAATTTAATCCCCTCTGCTGCCAAGGGTCATCAAAATCTTATTTAATTTCTGATATTCCGAGCCTTCTGTTTGTGTTTTATGTCTTAGTTGTTGTGTTTATGCTGTTTGTTTATTTACTAAAATGCTGGTGCAGTCAGTGCAATCATTTTTGGCACAAAGCAAACAGTCTGAGTGTGACTGTGGCTATAAGTAGCTTTTGTGCTATATTCAGAGGGTGAAGTTTTGTGAATTGGCTGTGAGCTATGCTGTCTCTTTACCAAACTTCTGTTTTACCACAAAGTTTCTGAGCGCTTGCTTTGAGGCACAGATGCTCAGTGGCCCTGCAGCAGTGAGAAGAGACCCTGGGTCCTCCTGAGGCAGGAGCGGCAGCAGTGTGTATGGTGGATATGGTACTGCCTCTGTGCGAGCACTTTGCAAGTTGTGGCACAGATGCTGGTACTGTCAGTTGTGTTATTGGCACCCTTTAGCCTATGCCTGAGCATTCAACAGTGACATCAGTAAAGGCCATTTGAGCTGAGAAGCATCAGTGTGCTTTGCAGTGCTGCTCTTGATCATGAGTCTGTATGGGATCTGGTTTGGGTAACTCCCCGAAACCATCAACCCAACTGAAGCTTAAAGATATTCCCCATCTCACCCTTCAGTCATAGTGTTGGACAGCGCTGGAGCAGTTCCATTCTGTATGGCAAAATAGTGTTCTCTGAGCACCTGAAAACAGATGGAGAAAGATGATACTGAGAAAACTCATCCTTCCCAAATCATCAAAAATGTGTGTTTTCTCTTGACAGTGCTTTATGTCGTTTCCTGCTGAGGTATTGCATGGGTCTGCAAAGAACTTTCTCACTCTTCACTTGAGTCAGAGGAGTGAAGTAAGGGCAGGGAAGGAGCACTGTTCCCTCTAACTTCTCTGCCATTAGGAAATGCTTACAGGCAGTCTCTCCATGTGTGTGGTTTTTAAATCTGTTTATTTCCCTGGCAAGAAGCTGCGCCTGTGGTCTTTGTGACAGCTCCGCCTCCTGCTCTCCTGGCCAAATTCCCCACACACTCAGCTTGGTGCAACGGCACTGGCGGGTACAGGCAGTGCCAGTTCCACAGCAGGGATCAAGGCTTGCAGCAGGAGGCTGAGAGGTGATGATGGAGGTTATGCAAGGATCCACAGGAAGACTCCAGCTGCTGCCCTTGGGGGCTGGGGTCATCACTCTGTTGTTGACAGTTGTGGCTTTATGCTCCCTGCCCTCCCTGATGAGTTACTGGAGGCGATGGTGGATGATGAAGTCAATCCCGGGTATCAGCCCCTGCTATCCTGTGCTGGGAAATGCTCTACTCTTAGAACGGGGTGGAGAAGGTAAGGCCAACTCACGCTGTAGCCCAACTGTGAGGTCCCTGCACTGTGGGGTTTGCTGGAGGAGCCAGTGCTGGTGAGGTGCTTGTGTGTTTGAGCTGTGGCTGGCTGGGGAAGGGGAATGGGAGATCAAAGGTGTGCTGATGCATTTAGGTCTGTCTGGGGCTGTGGGCAATCTGCAGAGGGGAACTGTGTGAGGAGTGGGCAGTGAAGGGGAAAGGAGAGGAACTGCATAAATGTAGCATTATTATTAGTCAGAGATTAACTGGAAATTCAATCTGACAACAGCTTCCAGATGCTGCTGCTGGACTCAGATGGTTACAGTTGGTAGGATGGAGGATGAATGCTGTCGGATGTGTTTTTCCAATGGGGAGGCATGCTGAGGGCTCTTGCAGGAAGTGCTATTTCACAAAGCAGAGCACTGTGTTCTCGTGACTGCTAGCTGTGATCCAAACAAAACTTTAAACAATTCTCTTCCCTCAAGTAAGCATGTGCAAGGGACTTTATCATGCTGAGTTGCTGGGTCACTTTCAGCAATCACAGAATTAACTGTGACTTACATGTGTTAGATGCAAAAGAACTTGCTGAGTATTTACAGTACATCCCTCAAAAGCAAACCTTTCTGTTCTTGCACTTGTTAATGGGACCTTCTTTTTTGCCAGGTACTCGAGAGAGCACTAATGTGCTAGATGTTCCCTTTCCATTTGGTACCTCTTTTTTAACAGGAGCATATTTCTTAAGGAGTTTGTGGTGTGAAAGCATTGATGGCTGTGCTGTCAGTGGCCCAGACGCTTCTGTGTGTGTTTGTGATGCCTCTGTATGCTGGTTCTGCTCTGTGTACATGTATTCCTGGCTGTGCTGCCTAGTATGCTGCCAGAAGAGAGACTGTGCAAGCATGGTAAAGTCAAGGACGAATACAGTATTGGAACAGAAATTGCTCAGTGCTGACCCATGCTGAGACATGGTGCCTCTGTTCACAAGGGTACACTGTCATATCTTTCCCCTGCATTGAACCCCATATCTAAATACAGATATGAGAGATCTTTGGTGGATGTGAGGGCAAGCAGCTTTCCAGGAAGCTGGCTTTGGGGAAGTAGTAGGAGGATCATAGTCAGGATATTTATACGACCCTGACTGAGAGATGAATCTTCTTTTTTTTTTTTTCTTTTTTTTCCCCCCTCTTCTTTTTAAATTTTCTTTAAAAACCAGAACAAAACACAGCATTGTTTCTGCCTCCGGAAAGCAGTTTGCTGGAGACCCTGATGTTCTTTGGAGTCTTTAATCTCATTTGTTAGCAGGAGTCACATAGCCTCCATGCTTTAGTTAAGTTAGTGTCTTTGTTCCTGTTTATTTATGTAAAAATGAGTGAAGTTTGTGGTTTGTAATACTTTTCATTTAAAATGTGACAATGAAAAAAAGATAGCTTTTATAAAAAATGGTAAAGTTTTATAGCAGAAAAAAGAAGGGCTTTTCATATGATGGTGATTTGGTTTATTGGTATTGGTAGATAAATGCTGGAAAACATGATATTTTAATCATGGCAATGCTAGGAAAAATATTTTTAAAATAGCAAAATAATCTGACACTCTTAAACCTGTTGGATAAGGTCTCATTAGAACTCAGACTAGGGAAGACTGTATTTGCACACTGATTAGGAAATGATTATTTTTCTTTTTTTTTTCCTCTGATTGGGGACCTTTGAGTTTTCAACTCTGCAGAGGCTTAATAGGATATCTTTTATTGTTTAAGCTGGCTTCTGAAAGGGTATTCTTCGAATATCCTGATAATGGCCACCACATGTAGTATTGCAGAATGAACCTGAATGCTGTCTGCGATGAGAGAGCATCAGAGACCTTTTTGAATCAAACTAAACACCATCTACTGCTCCTCCCTTGCTCACAGATCCAGCTATCTCCCATGCTTTCTGTATAACTAAACTGACAATATATGGATTGGATGAGTGTATAATAATGTGGGAGGAGGATTGGCTGAATTGCTGAGCTCACTGGTATGAAGTCCGATTGGCAGCTGGACAGAAGTGGTATCTCTCAGGTGTTCTGTGGCATAAATGATCTTATGAGTCTGTGCCCTTAGAGATTAGGACATCTGAACTGTAAAATCCACAGGTGCAAAATACACTGCTTGATCATAAAGCTTCAACAAAATCAAAATTGCAGGGCATATGGTGTAAAAGAGTTCATTACAGAAGTTTTTCTTAAGTCTTATTTAATAACCCCCCCTTTTTGAAAAGTTCTAATCTTATTCCAGTCCCTTCTTATTCCAGGTTTTTTTAATCAACTAAAATTTTATTCTGAAGAGTTCAGGAAGTGCTCATTGTTCAATCTTTGGTTAGGACCATTGCCTGTCGTAGTTTTGTATCACCCCGACAGTGTGGAGGTGAGTTTGCTGGTCTCCTGCTTATTCTACTGTCATGCAGAGTGGTGTCCCTCCTGTTAGTTTGTATTATCTCAATGTACTTTTTGTTAAAAAAGACTTGGGCTGATTTTCCTTGGAATTGTCCTCTGACCCAGTTCTAAAGAAAGGCTTAAAGCAAAAGAATGTAAAAAAGCCTAGTTGGGTGGGGAGGGGGGAGAGCTGGGAGGGGGGCATACTGAAGATGGCCAACAAATGAAAGCACCAACACAATATGTTTTATACGAAGAAGCATCTCCTTTAGCTTTTTTTTTTTCACATGTGTGAAAGCTTCTGCTCCCAAGATCAGAACAGGTAAACTGACAGCAGGGAAGGTGGGACCACTGAAATAAGGATGGAACATTACGAAATACAGATTTCAGTGCTTGTCTCTGACTGACTTCTGCATTAGAACTTGGTGGGTCTGTCGTGGTGCCATGAAATGTAGTCATTAGTTTTGCTACTGCCAGTGATTGTCCTTGAACTGGTGTAGGAATAGTTGTGCTTTCAGAAGAATTTGTAATGGGAAAGCTAGAAACTCGTTTTCACTTAGGAAGCCTGCAGAGTGTCTTCTCAAGAGGGTTAGATGTTTTTTCTTCCCTTCTGCTGTCCAGAGGGGTTGCAGAGAGAGCTGTGTTCTCTCTCTTTCTCTGCTATGCTGGAGACAGATAACTCTAACAGACATGCAGAGAGGCCTTGGGAAGGTGGGGGAGAAATGGAGGGGGTAAAAAGGTGCTGTACAGGGCATGAACTTGCCTTTTTTGTCCCTGGGGCCTGGTGCTTGAATAGCACTGTCAGGTATTTGTAAGTTTCTCGTGCTTTGGCCTTCTAAATAAACTTTGAATTCTTTCCACTGCGTTGGCATTTCTGGGGATACCTGCATATTTTACTTTACAACTGAGAAGACGGGGTTTTCTCTTTGTTGGAGTGTTTATTGAAGAAAGAGTGAAGAAATCTCTCTCTATCTAACAAATGATATTTTTTTCCTCGCTATTAATTTTTTTGACAGGTTATTTTGAGCAGTTCAAAACATATAGAAAAATCATACCTGTACGACTTCCTGCATCCATGGCTGGGCACTGGACTTCTGACAAGGTATAATGAAATGCAGGTGCATTCCTGTCTTTTTGAAATTCACAGGGGATATGATAGGAAGAGATCTTGGTGGCAGGAATGCCGTGTATATCTCTGAACAGAGAGATTGTGTGCGTTGCTTATCTCAGCTGGTGATGCTGCAAACCAGTAGGATTGGCGTGAGGCTGGTGATGCTTTGGGGTAGGATTGGAGAGTATCTGCACCCTGCCCTTCATTTCCTTCATTAAGTGGAGGATCCTAAGAAGTGAGCTCAGGTAAGAGCATAGGTCAGGAGTGGAGAGAGGGAAGAGCAATGATGTAAGGGTTTGGTGTCCTCCAGTCTTGGGAGGGTAAAGGAAGGTTTAGTCTGGATGATGCAGATATTCAAGAGTGAGAACAAGGCGAGGGTAGAGTGGCTTTGGTGTCTTTGAGCCTCTTTTGAGTTTTTGCGAGAAGGTCAAGGTCCCCCTGTTAGTTTGTTTCTCTTCTACGGGCTTTGCTGCTTGTTTGGAACCCTCAGAGGTGAACTCCTTGTACTTTATGATGGGACCATGGTGGTGTAAAAGCCAACTGTGATCATGTGGTGTGAGAAGTGCAAGTTTATGTGAGAGAATGAGGAATGCCTTTTATCCTGAATTTTGTTCATGGCCCTTAAGAAACCAGTTAGGAAGCAGTAACAAAGTGCAGAAAGTTGAGGTCCATAGGCATCAGACATCTTCACTGTTAAGTCTTCTTCCTTGTTCGTTATTTTGTCTCCCATAGACTTACAGAGGTATTTTGACTTCTTTGTGCTTACAAAAACATAGAGGAGGCAAATGTTCCAGTCTCTACTGATTAAGGGCAGCACTGGTAGACAGCAAGCAGATAAGCTGGCCTGAGGAGTGCCCCAATAGCAAGTTAACAGGAGTAGTGGTGTGATGGTTTTGCCTTGTAAGCAGAGGTGCCAGCTGTGTGCCTGTGGCACATGTGGTTCAGAAAAAGCAAACAAGAACCCCCAGGAAGCTATTTCCATTCTCTGTGGCTCTCTGCTTGTTCACTGGCATGAGGGAACTGGTTGCCTGTCTCCAAGGGAATACTTGGAAGCCAGGCCTTGAGGCAGTCATTTTGGTAATGTCCCTAGGCCCTAGTTCTCCGCAATCCTCATTTCACAGTCAGCAGATGAAGGCAAGCATGACTAGTGATTGAGAGAGACACTGTGGTGTGTTGAGACCTTGATGCTGAATAGCTGTTTTGTACTATAGGAGGCTTCTGCTTGGTCTCTCTGAGCCTGTGCACTGACCAACAAGGCTGTATTGCCTGGAGGCTTGTTGGCATCTCTATTTGTTGAGAGCAGCTAGAGAAATGGTGGCTTCTGCTTCTGAGAGATCTGGAGCAAGAAATATTGCCATTTGCTGCTTCTGGGGAGTGCTATGAACAGCTTGAAGAGACATCTACAGAGTGTCCACCTCTTCCAGGCTGCAGTATTTACTGTATACTTCCTATGATGGTGAGGTTTTTATTTTTGACTTGGGAACTTTTAACCCTTCCTTCACCCCATTAATTTTACAGCACTGGAGACAAGTGGCGGTCGCGGAGGAAGATGATAACTCCCACTTTCCACTTTGCAATATTGAATGATTTTCTAGAGGTTATGAATGAACAAGGAAGTATTTTGGTTAAGAAACTTGAAAAGCATGTTGACAAGGAACCATTTGATGTCTTTCTGGACATCACTCTGTGTGCCCTTGATATCATCTGTGGTAAGTCCTCTTCAATTATTGTGGTGGGACTGTAAATGATGTGGATGCTCATGAGTACAGCTGTGCCAGTTTGTGTGAGGAGGTGATTGAAGAGGAACGTCCCTGCATATTGTGTGAATGCATTTCTATCCTCCCAAGGCCATCCTTTCTCCCAGGGTTTATTATGTGCATCTGAGCAGGTGAGTTTGTGGGATTGGCACGACAGAGATAGCATCTGAAGTGAGGTTGTGTTGAAGAGCAAGATTTCTGGGCATGGAAACATAAAGCAGGCTCATCACCTGGAAAGGGATATTTGTATTCACCTGTCAAAGGGATGGTGTTGTGACAGTCAGAAGCTGGGAACAGTAGTAACTTATTGTGTACACAGACTTTGCATTTCACTTTGCACATGTGAAATGTTGATATTTTTCTTCTTCTAGAAACAGCAATGGGCAAGAATGTAGGTGCTCAGAAGAATAAGAATTCTGACTATGTTTCTGCTATCTACAGGTAAACGGACATTTTCCTTAGCTACTGCATAGAGCTGGAGTTGATGCTGCTGGTCAGGAGGGAAGGCCGGGGGGGCAGAGATGGAGGGATGTAAAGCACTGGAACAGACCAACCCTGGGTCACTAAATACCCTGGAGGTATTTGAAAGACTTGTAGATATGGCACTTAGGGTCACGATTCAGCAGTCAGTTAACACTAGGGTTAACTAGTTGAACTCAATTATCTAAAAGGTTTCTTTCAACCTAAATGATTCTATGATTCTATGATCTCACTCCAAACTTTCGATGGTGCTTGTTGATGACAGGTACGTTATGAAAGAAGGGGTGGACTTCTAGAGTTTGATTTTCATCGATTCCTTGGCCTTTCCCAAATTGTACCACAAGTGTGCGTGAAGTTGGCCTAAATGTAGTAACTACTTCTTGAAGTCTCTGCAGCCAAAGCATGTGCAAGAACTGCATAGCAATGACAATCAGCCCTTCCAAATGTACTCCAGTTTGTTTGAGCATACTTGAAGTCTCATATTCTTTGTTTTAAATACTTTTACATGTTATCTGGCATATATGGTATCTGGAATTGTACTCCAGTTGTGTTTGAGCATAAGGATACTTAAGTCTCATGTTCTTTGTTTTAAATACTTTTATATGGTGTCTGGTGTATATGGGATCTGGACAATCAAGTAGGAATGTAATGATGTCAGATGACTGAGTTCTCAGGGCAGATATTTTGGAAACCTGTCATGAGTAGTCTTTTCGACATGGCCAGTGCCTTACTGAAGTCACATGGGACTGAACTGGATGACTTAATAGGTCTGTTTCAAGAGGATTCCAATTAAATGAGAATATGCTCTCCTTCTCAGAGAACAATGCTTAAAGATATAAAACATGGTGATGCTGGGACAGGTAACAGAAATTTTGAGATGGTGTAAGATCAGGAAACAAATGTGAACAGCCTTCCTTTCAGATGAATGAGTTTAAACTCACACAATCTGTTAAATTCTACTTCATTAGGGTACATAGAACACTTTTTTTGGTTTTTGAAAGTGTGTTGTAGTTTATTTTTTTGTCAATAAATGTTACATGATGTAATTGTTTTGCCCATAGGATGAGCGATCTAATCCAACAGAGACAGAAGAGCCCTTGGCTTTGGCCTGATCTTTTATACATGCTGTTCAAGGAAGGAAGAGAGCACAAGAGGAACCTCAAAATCCTTCACAATTTTACAGATAGAGTATAATTCTTTTGTTTGTTTGTTTGTTTGTTTGTTATTTATAATGATAATTTTAGTTATTGGAGCCAAGTCTTGCACTCAGTAGGGAGCTTCCAAATGGGATGAGGTTCAGCCTCCTTGATATGCATGTACTAAGAGAAGAGCTCTCTCTCAACTGGGATGCTGAGGAATTCCCCGAAAAGAAGACAATAGTTGACTTCCCTTTCTGGAGTTCTGTCAAATTTAAACAATAGGAAGTATACAAATCCAAGGGAGTGTCAGGACTTACAGCGGGAATTCATTGAACTCTTGTTCTGCCCCAGAAGGAGAAGCATCCGAAGCACTTGCAAGAGCTCACTGCCAAGTTTGGAGCAGTAAGCGTAGGGCTCTGCGTGGTGATGCCATTTGATCCAGCCCTCAGAAATTGAAGGCTATATTCATTTTTCCCTATTCAGAGCAGAACTGCTCAGATAAGCAAACAGATACAGGTCTCCACATCAGCAGAAAGACACTTTGACACAGAAACCATTAAGCATGTGTCACTGACTTGGCATAAAATGCAGTGTTCTCTCACTATGTTAGACTGGAAATAACAACCCTTTCACTCACCAAATAATTCCCACGCTACTCTTGCTAATGTTTGCCTTCCAAATCTACTTCGAGGATGTTTTCAGGCTGCTTTCCCTATGCATGTATGATGTCGTGGCATCAATGTCTATTACAAAGAAAATAATCTCTGAACTTCGATTACATATAATGAGCCACATTGTGTTTTTTTAAGTACGTCATGTTTTGCTTCCTTTTATTGGGAATTGCAGCAGTGAGACATGAGAGAGGCTCTTAAGAGGACGTAAGGTAACACTTGCTCTCTTTCTATGCTGCAGCTGAATATAAAAAGCCAAATCTTAGAAGATGACAAAGAAACAGTAAATAATAATGTCACTTAGTGTAGGTGCTGACAGAAAGAACTGAGCCAGCACAGCTTCATGAGAGGAAAGTCCTGCTTATCAACCCTGATTTCCTTTTATGACGAGGTACTCCATCTAGTTGGTCAAGGGAAGCCAGTTGATGTAATCTTTTTGGATTTCAGTAAAGCTTTCAGTACTGTCTCTCACAGGACCCTTCTGGACAAAACGTCCATCTGGATAAACACATCTCGTGGTGGGTGAGCAATTGGCTCACAGATTGAGCACAGAGGGTAATAGCGAATGGGGGAACATCAGACCGGTGACCTGTCACCTTGACAAATTAGAGGACTGGGCAATCACCAACTATATGAAGTTCAACAAAGGAAAGTACTGGATTCTGCACTTGGGATGGGGCAACCCCGGATATTCATACAGACTTGGGAATGAGATGCTGGAAAGCAGTGCTATGGAAAGGGACCTGGGGGTCCTGGTTGATGGCAAGTTGAATATGAGTCAGCAGTGCCCTGGCAGCCAGGAGGGCCAACCATGTCCTGGGGGTATCAGGCAAAGCATCGCCAGCCGGTTGAGGGAGGGGATTGTCCCGCTCTGCTCTGCACTGGGGCGGCCTCACCTTGAATATTGGGTGCAGTTTTGGGCACCACAATATAGGAAAGATATTAAGCTATTAGAAAGTGTCCAAAGGAGGAGAACAAAGATGGTGAAGGGCCTTGAGGGGAAGGCGTATGAGGAGCAGCTGAGGGCACTTGGTCTGTTCAGCCTGGAGAAGAGGCTGAGGGGAGACCTCTGTCTACAACTTCCTCATGAGGGGAAGAGGAGGGGTAGGTATTGTTCTCTTCTTTATGGTGACCAGGACAGGACAGGACCCAAGGGAATGGCCTGAAGTCATGTCAGGGGAGGTTTAGGTTGGATATTAGAAAAAGGTCCTTCACCCAGATTGTGGTTGGATACTGGAACGGGCTCCCCAGGGAAGTGATCAGATCACCAGGCCTGACAGAGTTCAAGAAGCATTTGGACAATACTCTCAGGTTTATTCTGTTGCATGGGACAAGAGGTATTGGTCATATTTCACCTACTAACACAAAAGGTCAGTCAAAGTTCATGACCTAATGCTGATAGCTATGCTAACTAGATCATGTGGACTGCTATAGATGGATGATGTTGTTTTGATAAGTTGGGACAAAACTATATGATGTAGACTATGGGCCTGTGCTGAATGCATCATATCTGATATAATGGTTCTAATCTCAGGTCATTGCAGAAAAAGCTGCAGAACTTGAAAACACTAAGCAAAAAAAACATGATAATGATGGCAACTGTGAAGAAAGTGTCTCCAAAAAGCGAAAAGCATTCCTGGACATGCTGCTGAGTGCAACAGATGATGAAGGGAACAAACTGAGCTACAGGGACATTCGTGAGGAAGTGGATACTTTCATGTTTGAGGTAACCAAGGAAGCCACTGGTTTGTTTGTGGTTTTTTTGTTTTGTTTTGGTTTGATTTTTCTGGTTTTGTTTTTTGTTTTGTTTTGTTTTGTTGTTGATGTTGGTTCTATTTGTTTATTTTGGATGGTTTTTTTCCCCAGAACCTGAGATTCAGAATTTGAGGGTAGTGACTCTTGTCTTAATTCAGGAGCTTACTTTTAGTATGGAGTTATTTTAGCCCTGGAAGCCTAAGAGGAAATATCAGTCTTTCTACCCTACAAAGGTAGGATAGAAACATTGATGTGCCCTGGCAAAACGTTGGGCAATACATGTGTGGTAGGCCCTGCCTATATGAACAGGCTCTACTCATGAAAGCAGGTGAGTAATACAAGCTTAATGACTGACGCGGACCGTGGGCTCTTGGCTTATGTTGCAAACCTCATTAACACTGAACAGAGCTCTGAATGGTTTCGGTGTTTTGTCATCTCTCCTCACGTTTTGTCCATTGCCATGTTGGCTGTTCCTGGTTCTGTTGTCAGCTGTGTATTAGTGTGTTGTCTTCTCACAGAATCTTACACAGAATGGTTTGGGTTGGAAGGGACCTTAAAGATCATCTGGTTCCAACCCTCCTGCCATGGTCAAGGATGTCACCTGTTAGATTAGGTTGCCCAGGGCCCCATCCCACTTGGCCTTGGACATGTTGAGAGACAGGACATTCACAACTTCTCTGGACAACATATTCCTCACTACTCTGTGAGTAAAGAATTTCTTCCTAACGTCTAATTTAAATCTCTTCTCTTTTATTTTAAAACTATCCTCTCCAAACCCTTTGATCATTTTCATGGCCCTTCTTCATGTCTGGTTCTCTGTCTAATGAAGGATCTAAACAAGATTTTCACAAGTTTCCCACACGCTTCCATTAGGTGGACCTGAATTCTGTCTCAGAAGAGCTTATGTCATAGAATCATGTTACTGCTATTGTAACCTAGAGAAGCTCTCCTCCCATTATTACTATTTCTGCACTACATCAGCATCCTGAACTTTACTGCAGGTGCACTTTTTCAGTACTGAAATACTTTTTTGGTCAACTTTTCCCTTTTCTGTTCTCCCCTTTTTTCTCTCATTTTTAATTTCCTCTCCCTTTCCTTACTTCTCATTGCCTTCCTAAGTGCTGGGAACTAGTAGTTGATCCCCTTTTCATAGGAAGCCAAGAAGTATTTTCTCCTTTGTCTATTGTAATGTGTATTATTAGACCATTTTTAGATAGTTTTGTAAAGGTTACAGGTTGTGTCCATTTTATCTCTCCTGCAGTAGTCATTGGCCCCCCAGATGTTATGTTGTTGACTGGACAGTAACCAAAAATATGAAAATACATCCGTTTCATTGTGTAGAGACTGATACTTCATACAGCTTCTGAGAATCAGGAGAGATTTTGCTTGTGTTATTTCAATCCTTTTCCCTTTTGGTCAGTTTTCAGCACCTGACAGAATTGTGGGTCATCTTATACCTTGATAATTAGTGTGTTGAATAGAGTATTTCACTCTTGATTATTGTTTTTCTTGTGGTCATGGGACTAATAAGTGTCGCTTTCCATATTACCTGCATACCTAAGTATTCGAAAAGCCCACTGGTGCACAGGAATAGAGTTGAAGTGAATGTCTTTGTAAATCTGAACCTCTAGGGCCATGATACAACAGCAGCTGCTATGAACTGGGTCCTGTACTTGCTTGGACATAATCCTGAAGTTCAGAAGAAGGTTCACAAAGAATTGGACGAGGTGTTTGGTAAGTTTCCATTCCTGCCTTCACTGGGGCTTTGGCAGTAGTTGATGCATTTGTGAGTGGAGATGTGTTAGAAGCTGAGATGTAGAAGGGGAGTTCGGAGCATGCCTTCTGGCCCTTTTGGAGCTTTCAGCAGCTAGAAGTGATTGGGACGTGTGTGGGAAGATCTGTAGGGGTGTTCAACTAACCTTACGTCTTGGGGGCAAGATATGCATGTTCAATATATGTGTAACAGGTTCTTGTATGTAGTCTTGGTGCGTGATAGGAATTCCTGGAGGGATCTAGGGTGAGTTTGTTTAGCCAGAAATGGGGAGTTTTGGTCTTGCTCATTCCCCTGTTTGTTTTTGGACAGACAACACTGAGCGTCCTGTTACAACAGACGACTTGAAACAGCTTCGATACCTTGAGTGTGTTGTGAAAGAAGCCCTTCGGCTCTTCCCTTCAGTTCCCATGTTTGCCCGTACCTTGAGAGAGGACTGCTGTATTAGTAAGTAAACTGTGTTTGCCACTTTCTGTCCTGTTAGCATGTCCTCATTGGAGATGTTTCCCAAGTAAATGGCAGCATTGTTTTATTTTTTTACTGTGCTGTTGTGTATAGAAAGTCACTTATTTGCTGTCGCTTTGACCCTTTTTCTTCCTTTCCCTTTTCTCTTTAGGTGGATATCAGATACCAAAAGGCGCAACTGTTCTTGTTTTAACTTATGCCCTGCACAGAGACCCGGAGATCTTCCCGGACCCAGAGGAGTTCAGGCCTGAAAGATTCTTCTCTGAAAATTCTAAGGGAAGGCACCCATATGCTTATGTGCCCTTCTCAGCTGGTCCCAGGAACTGCATTGGTAGGTATCTGAAGAAGTCTTTGTAATGTGACAGTTTGGCTTTTGGTGTGGTAACTGAGACAGCAACGAGTGTATCAGAAATTTAAGTCTTGATGTGCCTGCTAATTGTGTACTGTCCTTCCTGCCTCCACCACACCCAGCCCCTGAATTCTGGGCACTGTGGGCCCTGCAAGCCTAGTGCTTGAGCTGCCACATTTGTTTCTTCCCAAGTTTCTTCTTGAGCTGCCACATTTGTTTCTTCCTAGAGACCAGTGGCTATCACACTGATGTTTCCTCCTCACTGCCTGTGCAGCCTGGCAGCATGTTATTTGGCTCTTGTGTTAGGACAGGATTCCTTCCAAATTTCTGATTCTCAGTGTTAGCAAGACAGAGTGAGAGAAGACAAATGCCCTGCACCTGTTTTGCTCTGGAAACATCTCTTCTGTCTCTCTCATGATCTGAGCTGAGTGTCCCAGACATGCAGTCTGCAACTGATGTATTTTTTTCCCTCTTTTCTGACACTGTAGTTGGTTTGGTCTTTTCACTGTCATCCCAGAACTTGTTAGCTCTTCTGATGCCACTGAGATGCTTGGCGTTCATCTGTGCTCAGAATAGAGGCATTGTTAGTTTTAATGTAGAACACGTGAAAAGACTGTTCCCTGCACTGATTTTAACTGCAGGTGGGGAATATCCAGAAAATGTCATGCCATTTACAAGAACAGGAAATATAACTTCTTCTGGGTTTTTTGATTTTGTTGGTTTGGTTTGATTTCTTTTTTTGGGGGGTTGGTGTTGATTTGTTTTGATTTGTCTCATTGGTAGTAGGTGCCCTTCCCATAAGAACAGTAAACTAGGTCTTTCCATGTTCCAAAGAGAAATCTAATCTAATCTAGTCTAGCTAGTTCCTGAGTGTGAAGGAACATGTGCAGGAGAGATGGTTCATTAATATCATTGCAGAAATGCATCACTATGTTCATGTGTATGGACATCCGTCTAAGCATATTATACAGAGGGGAGAACAGAAAAAGTTTTGAGCCCTGGCTTTGTGTCCTGTGCCCATTTTTCAGTTTAGTTTGTGTGAACTGCCAGGATTGTGGCACTTGGTTTGATTTCCCTCGTGTTTCTCTGTTCTCCCCTTTCCTTCTTCACCTTTCCCTGAAGTGTAAATTGAACTTTGCTGTCTGTGCTACCAAATCATGAGTGTGAGGTTTAATGATCACTGAAGGAAGGTCTGTCTGTCATTCTGTTGCAGTCATACCTCCTTTGCTCCTCTCCACATATATGGACCAATGAGATTTTTCACTCTCCACAGTCCCTGTATGGCATCTTCTGCTCTGGTCTGCCATCCGTTCCCCCTGCCTAGTCCATCCAAGAGATATGACAAGGCTGTGTTTTGTAGAAGTTCCATAAAAAGGGTTGACTGTTTCTGCTTTGCTGTTTGAATTCTGTGTACTATGGGAAGGAAGACACAATGTGGATTATCCCAGGAAGGCCAGAGTTTTCATGCAGAGAAAAGTGCTAGTATTGTTAGTATCCATGTAAACTTAATTTTGGCCTAAGGCTAGTTCTGTTCTCAAGGCAGATGCACAGTCCTTGCTTTCTCCTGTTCCTGGGAGTATCACGGTGAACATCCAAGTGCAGCAGCCATTGATGCAACCTTACAATAACTTTTCTTCCTGCCCTGTAACTTGTAGGTCAGCGCTTTGCACAAATGGAGGAGAAAACTCTTCTAGCCCTCATCCTGCGGCGCTTTTGGGTGGAGTCATGTCAAAAGCCAGAAGAACTTCGTATAGCTGGAGAATTGATTCTTCGTCCAACTAATGGCATCTGGATTAAGCTGAAGAGGAGACCAAATGCTGGATCAGAATGAAACTCATTTCAAGGGTTTACTTCCAAAAATTTTCAAGCTATTTAGGCTGAAATTTGTTTTAAAATCAGATATTTTGATGTCAGTCCAGCAGTTTGTTAAAACCGGTTGTTATTGTTTCATTAAAGATGTTGTAATAGTCTTAAATTGCTCTACTTTTCTAGTACTTGTGAACTTCATGTTAATCTTTGAACTGCAAGTCTTTAAATATTAACTTTTAATGCCTTATCTGCTCAGATGAAACTATTCTGTTGCAACAGTGCCACAAAACCTTAAGTTATGGTAGTAACAACAGAAATGCCTGTGATTAAGTGATCTGGTTACATGCCATAGCATTTGCCAGGTAACTGATAGTCTCAAATATTTGTACAGTTTTCAGGTTTCTGAAATATACAGTACCAGGTTCTGATAATTCTTCCTCTCAGGCAATATGTTTCCTTTTTGATAATGACTGTATCTGTGAAGATGAAGCAAAAATCTCTGGTGACTTCTCTCCTCCTCTGTAAACATTTACAGTAGTTCTTAAATAGTGAGTGCTCTGAATTATTTTTTAGCAAAGTATACCATAAGCATTAATCTGTATAACCATACCAGAAAGTAGATAGTGTGCAAATTACACACTGGATGTCGCAATGACAGAACCACTGTATTTACAAATAAACTTCTACTATGCCTCAATATGGAATGAAATTGCATCTGTAGAAATTGCATGCCTGTATGCAGGTAAAGTAGCGATGCATAATTATTTCTTAGCATCAGTTCCTCTGGGGTGATCAGTCAACCAGATTTTACTGTGTTGCTCAAAGCTCAAACAATGAGCCAGTTGTTCTCTTACCTTCTAGGGTCTTGTAAAACCCTGAGCTTGCTTGGCAAGTTTGTTAAAGGGGGCTTAGGTACTTCAATTCCCTGAGACAGGCATAAGGGAGAACACTGTAGTGTTTTCAGGAGGTTAAACAACAAACTTTTACTGGCAAACTTCAGAAAATAAGGGTACTTGGCAAGTTTCCTTAAAGCAACATTCAATCAAAATAAAGCATTTCACAGAGCATTAACTTAGCGAACTCTAGCCCATCCAATTTCCAAGTTACCCAGATTTCAAGACAAGGAAATTTGAAGAAGAAAGAGAAAGAAAGGGGAGAAAGAAAGACTTATAATCACTGCTTGAATTCCAGCACGATCTCAGCTCCTATAAAATGCAAACGGGCCGCAACCCTGTGTATTCCCGTGCAATTGCTTTTATTGGCTCTGGTCTCTCTTCTCCTAGGTGGGGCATTCAGTGTGCCAGTGGCTAATAGCCATTCTGGGCTGGACTAGATCTTGAGGGGTGAGGGTGTGGAGCAGTGCACCATCCCTTCTTGGCTGAATTTACTCTACTCCCCCTTGCAGCCCCCCTACCTCCCCTTTTAGTTATTTTGAGGCAGTAATCATTTTCTCCACTCTCTCACAGGCCATGAAGGCAACATACACAGTTTTTTGCTAACTGAAGTTAAAGACGAATCACAGTGATGGAATAAAGTGCCTGTGAAAAGTTTCTGACTGTTGGTACCTTCAGGACAGGTCAAAATCTGTTACAGGCCACACAGCTTTTTGCAAGCTCTGAAAAAGCTGATGGCTAGAGCAAGGTCAGGTCTTCTAGCTGACCTGCTCTTTACTTGTGCCCTATGCTTTGGGACTTCTTTTGGCTGGTGTATGTTGCTCCAGCATGGTGCCTGGTGCCGTACAAAGAAGGGAGCCCGCCGATAACCACACTTTTGTCTTTAGGTGCTGATGCAGCTCTTGCTCTTGCCCTATGGTGAGCAGTGAGGGTTTTTGGTGTGCTGTTGCCTTTAGGTTGTTCTGGGGCTTTGGGCACCCTGCAAAGGGGAGCTGGATGAGAAGCTGGAGGTCAGAGCTGATACAGCCAATATGGCTTGGTCCAGTCTAATGAGTAATATGGTACAAAGTAACAAAGGAGTAATCAGTGTTTACTGGTTTTGTTGATCTTTTGTCTGTTTGGGTGTGCCCTTTTAACAACACTTTGTGGTTTAGCACCTGGGATGCTTCCGTCCTTTGTAGAACGTCATAATAAAGAGAAAATAATTTCTATGTTTTCCAAGCAAATTAGAGATTTCCTTGAACCTGCCAAATTCTTTATATTCTGATGAACCTAGGTTTTACCATTTTCTGAGGATCTTATAAAAAGAAAGTATTTAATTGCTGAGTTTACATAAATGAAATTACAGATCTTGACAAAAAGTTTGTAATTGCTACCTTTATTTTGCCCTTAAGAAAAAAGAAGTCATGTAGCAATGGTAAAATGGCTGCATTCTTCAGCCTTCTTTTTCAAATAGGTTTCATTTCTGTACAATAACAAGAATTTAAGTTTCCAGGGCTGAATGTAAACATTGTTTTCTTTATAATGAGATAACTTTTGAGACTACCTTCATATGTTAATCATCATCATGGCTAGGCTTTGTGAATCAAGATTTGGGAAGGCTCATATGTTAATACACAGAATACAAATGACAAGTGTTTTCTTAAGGAATTATTTCATACTTTCAGGTACTCAGCAGTGTGAGCTTTCAAGGTATACAAGATTTGCATCCAAGATATGTTTTCTCAGGACTTTTGGTATGTAGTTGAAACCTGGAGAGGTACCTCATGTTTTCCTAAACTATGTCCTTAAAGCTGAAGACTTTCAAGACTTCCTTTTCTTCTGTGGGATTTATTTTGTAGAAACAGTTTGTAAGATAGACCAAATTATAGCAATTCTTTCCATAAGATAATTTTTTTTACTTCTAGCTATTCTGGCCAATATTTTTTCTTGTGCTTTGTTTTTGTATCATACTCTTCTCATATAATGAGATCTCAAGTAAATTATAATTTCTTTTTGATTTCTAACGTGAACAAGAAAACAATTGAGACAAAAACTAGATAAAACTGTAATGAGAAACTCATTATTAAAAGTGCATGGGCTCAAATACTGACCCATGTTGCCAAAGTGGAAAATCCCTATTTAGTGATGCACATAGTATCTTTGCCAAGATAAGCACTGATTTAATCCTGTAATCTTTGTGTTTGAAGCTGCTCTGAAATGGCGGTGACCTCTCATCTTCAGTTGTGAAATTTGATTTTAAAGCAGTCTGAGGCTGCTAAGGAAATAAATATTGAGGAAAAAATACTGAAGGTACTGAACTTTCTACTGGGATAGCAGAAACGGAGCATATGAGTGTTTCTGGTTAATGGTTTACAGCTGTTATGGAGAACACTGACAATAAACCCTGTGTAACATCTTGGGAGGTTCTGCTTGAGAATCTCCTGCAGATGCCTCAGAGGAACTAGAAGTTTCCAGCCAGCTTGACACAAACTGCTTTTTGGCGTCTGAAAGCTGCATGTTTGGACTCATGCAAGAGGTGGACTAATGGTGCTTTCTAAACATCCACCTGCCTTCCTGAATTTAATCCTCATGCTGTGAAAGACAAAACTTCATATGTAGATTTTAGTACACTGCTGCAAACAGATAATTTTACCATGTGTTTTAGCTCTGAATTGAGCTAAACCACTCAATTTATCATCAATCTGCTCTGTTTTTTCTGTTTATTTGAACTGTATACCTTATTTTTCCAAAAGTGTGGAGTTGGAGTTTTTTGGGGTTTTTGTTTGTTTGCTTGTGTTTTAATAAGATAGTAACGAACAGGAATAACTGCCCAATATCTGACCTGGAAAGCCTACATGAGAAATAAAAAGTGAAGAAATTAAGTCCTTGGAGAAAAGTTCTAATCCTTTTGTGCCACCAAGTGAAATGCATGCAGACATGTACACACACACACACAAAGGCAAAATAATTATTTTAACTGAACACTAATACAAGTTGAGCAGTACAAAAAGTTGTAAGTTCAGCTTGTTTTTTTTATAAATATTCTGATAAGTGGTAGGTTTTGTGATTACTTTCATGGTGATGAAAACTTCGTAATTTGAAGTAAAGGTGAAAATTTTTCAAGGGGTGTGAAAAATTATCATCACTTTTTGGATGAGAAAAGAGTTGCATATTTGTGGTTATACAGGAAGGCTTCAGTGGTGTTGCCTGGCAATGGTGTGGTGTACTTTTCCAGAGCTGTGTTCCCATGATACCTGTCCACCCTGTGACCAATATAAAAATCTGCTTTTCTGAGTTAAAAGTCAGAGCTGTACAGACATCTTAGTCTCAAAACATTTCATGTCACAGGACTAAACTATCGATGTGTTTTTCAGTAAAGACTTCTAGCACTCTCACTGTTGCACATGTAAAACAGAACAGAGCACATAAAAATGAAAACTGCTTACTGAAAACAGTTGAGTCCTCTCCTACAAGCCTGTCAGGGCAAAGCAAATTGATACATGGGAGAGTATGAAGACTTTATTTGAGACAGTTCTTCTTCTGTAAGGAGGAGTTGGAGACCTTGCTGGCCCTTAAATCATGGAGAAGTGATTTCAATCATCAGGATGTTCAAAAGGGTCATAGTTGGGTGGAATGTTTTGATCTTGATACTTTTTGAGTTGAGTATATATATCTGTCTTTTCCATATTTGATTTAAAAGAAAAGACGAAAAAAGAGTGGGGAGAAAGGAAGAGCCATTCCTTAAGCAGTTTCACTGTGAAACAAAACACTTTTTTTTTCTTTTTTTTTTTTCTCAGATTTGAAAGATTTTTTTTTTTGGCTTTTAACACTTATTAAAAAGAATAATAGAAATCAAAACAAGTGATTCAGATAAGCTAGAAATTAAATTTGACTACTTGTTGTATTTACATTTCATATATCTGCAAACAGGCTTGTGTTTTTTCTGCTTTCTGGCAAACTGAAGACACTCTTTGTTGAACTTAGCAACAAAAACAGGAGTGTGGAAAGGCCGACAGTAAAATTACTTGGAAGATGTAGACAGGATAATTTCTGTGGAGTATTGAAAAGGAGGAATGAGAACTTGAAATGATGTTAAGAGCACAGTATACATAGTTGAAGTATATATCTGTGTTCGTCAAGGGAGTACCTCAAGAAAATGATGTAATAATAAGAAAATATAGGTGATGATTCTGTCCTCAGCTGCTGTAGTTTCATAATGGTGTTGTTTACTTGGGTCTGAGTTACTAGTCTGACTAATTTCATGTGGATTCCCCCACTCCAGCTCCCCCGGGTCAGGATTTGCTCTTGAGTCATATCTGGTTCCTTGTTTATGTGGGTTCCTGTGCTAGCAGCAGATACTCTGACTGTTCTGAATCAGGGATTTGCCTTTTATTTAAAATGCTATGAAAGAGGCAGATGCTCAGCTGATGTAAAACCAGAACATCTATTTCAGTGCAGTGTGGATGATGGTTGTTCTGAAAATGGGTCCCAAGGTCAGTAACTATTGACAAAAAAGGTAAGGTACCCGTTCAAAGTAAATATTAAAGATAAGTTAGCATTGCAGGCACAATAATATTTAACACGAAGTGTGGACTTCTTTTTTTTTTTAGTAGACCATAAACCTTACCCATGCATCCAGACCTACTGTATGTTCAGGTATGTAATTGTTATTGAAACTGGTATTCAGTGAAAGGTTTTCATAGCAACAAGACAGTGTATGTTGAAATATTTATGACTTATGTTGTGTAGTTAATTTATTTGACTATTTCATAGCTTAAGTTGTTGCATGTGAAAAGAAAGGGTTTAGAATTCATATAGCATA